CCCTCGCCTTCTTCACCCTCTCTCTCCCTCCCTTCTTCTCATCTCTCCCTACCCCCCCCGTTTTCTCTTCTCAACCCCTTTCCCCCTCTCTCCCCCTCCCCCATTTCCCCCTCCTCCCCCCATCTCATCCCTTCCTCCCCCCCCACCTCCCCTCATCTCCCCCCATCTCATCCCTTCCTCCCCCCCCATCCCCCCACCTCCCCCCACCTCCCCCACCTCATCCCTTCCTCCCCCCATCTCCCCCCATCTCATCCCTTCCTCTCTCCCCATCCCCCCCATCCCCCCACCTCACCCCTTCCTCTCCCCCATCCCCCCACCTCCCCCCACCTCCCCCCACCTCATCCCTTCCTCCCCCCATCTCCCCCCATCTCATCCCTTCCTCTCTCCCCATCCCCCCCATCCCCCCACCTCCCCCCCACCTCCCCCCACCTCACCCCATCCTCTCTCCCCATCTCCCCCCACCTCACCCCTTCCTCTCCCCCATCCCCCCACCTCCCCCCACCTCATCCCTTCCTCCCCCCACCTCCCCCCTTCCTCCCCCCTCCTCCCCCCATCTCATCCCTTCCTCTCTCCTCATCCCCCCACCTCCCCTCCCCACCTCCCCCCCCTCCCAACGCACACAAAAACTCAACCGTCATCTCTGCACACAGGGAATCACGTGTGTTGCTAGAAAAGGCAAGTACGCGTTTCTCGTTTCCTAATTAGCATATCGACCTCAGAAAACAAGACGTCGTACCCCTGGGTGGACGTCGTGGGAAATACAGACAGACAGACAGATAGACAGACAGACAGACAGACAGATAGATAGATATGTAGGTAGACAGATAGGCAGGAAGAGAGAGAGAGAGAGAGAGAGAGAGAGAGAGAGAGAGAGAGAGAGAGAGAGAGAGAGAGAGAGAGAGAGAGAGAGAGAGAGAGAGAGAGAGAGAGAGAGAGAGAGAAATAGAGACAGATAGATAGACAGACAGATAGGCAAGCAGGCAGGCAAGCAGGTAGACAGACAGACAGATAGACAAATAGACAGACAGACAGACAGACAGACAGACAGACAAACGAACAGACTGGCAGACAGTCTGGAACAAACCACTGGCACGCACGTATTCACCCAACTCAACTCGCTTTTGTGTGTGCGTTTTCCTGGGGCTCTTTCACTCGCTAATTTGCTCACTCACAGGCGTACATACTCGGTTATTTGCTCACTCACCCGCACACTCACTCATTCACTCACTCACTCACTCACTCACCCCCCCCCCACCTCTCTCTCTCTCTCTCTCTCTCTCTCTCTCTCTTCTCTCTTCTCTCTTCTCTCTTCTCTCTTCTCTCTTCTCTCTTCTCTCTCTTCTCTCTTCTCTCTTCTCTCTTCTCTCTTCTCTCTTCTCTCTCTCTCTCTCTCTCACTCTCTCTCTCTCTCTCTCTCTCTCTCTCTCTCTCTCTCTCTCTCTCTCTCTCTCTCTCTCTCTCTCTCTCTCTCTTCTCTCTTCTCTCCCACCCTCACACACAAAAAAGGAACAAGAAATTACACAAAAAACAAAACACAAAAGCAAAACAGCCAAACAAACAAGCAACCAAACAGCACACACGCGCGCGCACACACACACACACACACACACACGCACACAGATCTCTTGCAACATAAGCCCCTCATTCACATACATATATTTGCAATTGAAAGTCTTACTGAAAACAGACACTTGCGCACGTAGTATAGACGATGAGACATTTGAGAGGGGAGAGAGACGGAAGGAGGGGGGGAGGGGGAGAAAGGGGAGATACAAAATAAGGGGAAGAGAGAGGGAACATACAAAAAAGGGGGAAAGAGAGGGGAGAGAGAGACGGGAAGAAGAGAAAAAGAGAGGGGAGAGAGACAGAAAGAAGGGAGAGACGGAAAGAAGGGAAAGAGAGAGGAGAGAGAGACGGAAGCAAGGGAAAAAAGAGAGGGGAGAGAAGCAGAAAGAAGGGAAAGAGAGAAGGGAGACATAACAAAATGGGAAAAGAGGGGGAGAAACGCTAAACATGAGAAAAAAGTGAAAGGAGACATGAAAAGGGAGAAAAGAAAGGGGAGAGAGGGACATGAACATGGCAAAAAGGAGATAGAAAGGGGAAAAGGAGACGGGAGACAAAAAATCAGAAGAAAAGAGGGAAAAGACAAACTTAAGAAAACGACAGGGAAGATACACGAAAACGGGGAGACAGAGAAGGGAGAAAACACGAGGGAAAATAAGAAAGGAAAGACACGGAAGAGAGGAAAAAGAGGGAAGAGAGACCTAAAATGGGCGAAAGGGGAGACAGAAAGAAGAGAGACAAAAATAGGCGAAAGGGGAGACAGAGAAAAGAGAGACAAAAATGGATGAAAGAGAGACAGAGAGAAGAGAGACAAAAATGAGTGAAGAGACAGGAGGGTAAGATAGAAAGAAAACGCAAAAAAAGGAGAAAACGAAAGAAGAAAAAAGAAGAGAGACATCGGGAAACAGAGAAAGAGAAAAAAAAAATAAAAAGACGAGAAAGCGAGAAGAGACACACAAAAAAGTGGAAGACAGAGACAAAAAAAAAGGAGACGAAAGAGAAGAAAGATAAATAAAAACTAAATAAAGTACAAAATAAAGACAAATTGAGATAGAAAAGAGAAGAGATACATAAAAAGAAAAACAAAGAATGTGAAAAGCAGAGACAAAAAACGAGAGACAGAGATGAGAAGAGAAAAACAAAGAGGGGAAACAAGAATAGGAATAAAAGAGAAATAAGGAAGAGGGAAGGGAGAATAAAAGGGAAAGACGGAGAAGAGTTGACACATGCAGAAAAGAAAACAAGAAAGGGAGACAGAGAGAGAGAGAGAGAGAGAGAGAGAGAGAGAGAGAGAGAGAGAGAGAGAGAGAGAGAGAGAGAAGAGAGAGAGAGAGAGAGAGAGAGAGAGAGAGAGAGAGAGAGAGAGAGAGAGAGAGAGAGAGAGAGAGAGAGAGAGAGAGAGAGAGAGAGAGAGAGAGAGAGAGAGAGAGAGAGAGAGAGAGAGAGAGAGAGAGAGAGAGAGAGAGAGAGAGAGAGAGAGAGAGAGAGAGAGAGAGAGAGAGAGAGAGAGAGAGAGAGGAGAGAGAGAGAGAGAGAGAGAGAGAGAGAGAGAGAGAGAGAGGAGAGAGAGGAGAGAGAGAGAGATGAGAGAGAGATGAGAGAGAGAGAGAGAGAGAGAGAGAGAGAGAGAGAGAGAGAGAGAGAGAGAGAGAGAGAGAGAGAGAGAGAGAGAGAGAGAGAGAGGAGAGAGAGAGAGAAGAGAGAGAGAAAGAGAGAGGAAGAGAGAGAAAGAGAGAGAGAGAGAAAGAGAGAGAAAGAGAGAGAGAGAGAGAGAGAGAAAGAGAGAGAGAAAGGGAGGAATGGGAAGACAAACATTCGGAAAGGGAAGGAGAAGAGAGGGGGAGAGAAGAGAGACAGGCGGAAAGGAGAGAAGGGAGGAGAATAGAGGGGACTAGAGGAGGAGAGAGGAAGAGAGAGAAGAGAGGAAGAGAGAAGAGAGACACGAGGATAGAAAACAAGAGAGAATGGAAACAGAATGAAGGAGATGAAACGGGGAGACAGAGAGAAGAGAGAAAGTGCAAAAAGGAAAGATACGAAAAGACGGAGGAGACGCAGATTAATAAAGACGGAAAGAAAGAGACAAAGATGAATAAAGAAGGGAAGGGAAAGAATAGAGATTAATAAAAGGGGGAAGGAGAAGATACAGATGAATAAAGAAGGCAAGGAAGAGGCACAGCTTAATAAAGAGGGAGAAGGAAGAGGCAAAGACAAACAAAACAAAAGGAAGAAGACACAGATGAATAAAGAAGAGAAGGAAGAGAACACAGACGAATAAAAAGACAGAAAAGACGAAACATAAGATAAAAATACTCTCATTAAGCTATTAAAAGTCTTAACGAAGCTACCAAATTATGCATACAATCATCATCATCACACTGCTGATAAACACGATATAATGATTAAAGTAAACAATTCAAGTTGAAAATTAACATAAGGCTAGTCTTCAAGGTCTCCTAAACTTCTGTATTTGTCTTTTTTTTTTTTTTTTTTTTTTTAGTTTTTTCTTTCTTTCTCTTTTTTACTCCTTTTTTTCGTTTTTTTTAATTTTATTTACTCCCTTTCTTCGTATTTCCTTTCTCTTTTTTTACTCCCTTTCTTCGTTTTTTTGTTTTTTTTTTACTCTCTTTCTTCGTCTTTTCTTTCTCTTTTTTACTCCCTTTCTTCGTATTTTCTTTCTCTTTTTTACTCCCTTTCTTCGTATTTTCTTTTTCTTATTTACTCCCTTTCTTCGTATTTTCTTTCTCTTTTTTACTACCTTTCTTTGTCTTTTCTTGGGTTATTATATAATTATTTATTTATGGATAATTATTTGTTTCAAGACTAATCTTCGTGTCTCTCTTCTCTCCCCCTCTTTCCTCCTCTCTTCTGTTTTCGTCTGTGTCGCTTCTCCCCTCTTTCTCCCTTTTCTACGTCTCTCTTGGTTTCGCTTCTCTCTCTCCTTTCTCGTTTCGTATCGTTTTCTTTCGTTTCTTCTCGTCTCGTTACGTCTCGCTTTCTTTCGTTTCTTCTCGTCTCGTTTCGCCTCGTGATTTCTCGTTTGGTCTCGTAAGTTCTCGCCTTGTCTCGCGACTCCTCGTTTCGTTTCGTGATTTCTCGTTTGGTCTCATTTCTACTCGTATCGTGTCGTTAATTCTCGTTACTTCTCGTTTTTGTCTCGTGGTTTCTCGTCTGATCTCGTCTAGTTTCGTGTTGTTTCGTTTCGTCTCGTCTCGTTATTCCTCATTTCGTGTCGTTAATTCTCGTCTCGTCATGTTGCTTTTCTCTTCTCTCCTCTTCTCTTCTTTCCTCTCCTCTTCTCTTCTTTCCTCTCCTCTCCTCTCCTCTCCTCTCCTCTCCTCTTCCCTTCTCCTCTTCCTTCTTCTTCCTTTCCTCTCCTCTCCTCTCCTCTCCTCTCCTCTCCTCTCCTCTCCTCTCCTCTCCTCTCCTCTCCTCTTCCC